TTCCTTTAAAAGCTTTTAAAATAAAAGTAATTAAAATGATAAATTAATCTACTTATGATTTTCACATTATTTATTGCAAAAACATATATTTAGATAAAATAAATTAAAATTTGGGATATTTTAATCATAAATACAGAATTTAATTTATTTGGGAGGAGAGGCTTAAGACTCAGAATAGAGAAATCATTTTTTTGTAGTATGAATGGGGTGCCTCTCCAGGTAAACTTCAAGTGCAAAGGTTCCTCATTTAACTTTAAAATGATACACTCATTATATGTGCACCATATAATGTATACTTACTTATTTCAACCATGCTTAAAAGGATGCATACTGAATCACCAAAAAATTGATTTAGGCTGGAACTAATAAACAATATTTTAAAAGTAAATCTGCAACTTTCTTTAAATTAAAGGAAAACTACAGGGCAACCTTTTTTTGGCCATAGTTCTCTCCAGGGTCAAGGGAGGACATATACGAACGTCCTCCGGTGACCCAGCTATATGCCGAGCTCCGGTTACCCAGCTTTTGCCAGCTATATGCCAAGAGCGCCACAGCCAGGACTGATCCTAACAATACTGTTGAGATCCTGGCTGATTGACAGCTGGCTCTGCCTCTCTAGGAGGCAGAGCCAGCTGTGCCTGCCCCCTCCCCTGTCCGTTCCTCCAGTCAGTGCTGGAGAAACAGAGAGGGGAGGGGGTAATCCCTGCGGGGAGTGGTGATTGACAGTCACCGCTCTCTGCAGGGAGGGGATTAGGAAGTCAGCGAATGGTGGCATGTGTCAGCTGACTTCCTGATAAATAGAGCAGATCTGTGACAGTTTCAGTGTCACAGGTCGGCTTGAATTATGGGAATGTTTTCGACTGGCTCCATAAATCTCCTTTAATGCCGAATAATCTTGCCAAGAAGGTCCTTGGTTCAGATATTTCCTATTATGTTGCACAATACCTGTGTTAATGATGCTTCGTAAAAAACTCTTGATCTAAAAAAATCTAATGATCTAGACACTATAAACCATAATAGATAAATATTGAAAACAAAAAAATGTGAATAACAAAAAATATATACCTGTGCTAGTACATCTCATAGACGTATACATATAGAAAGTCCATCTCACAAGTGATGTTCAACTCCCACTTAATATACATATCAATATGTGTAGTCCATTCCTTCTTAATTAAAGTCATTAAATGTGTCAAGATATATCTTCCAACTTTTATAATCCACACCACCTCCATGAATGCATAAACAATTTTCTCACCAATCACGCAGGAGGCCTGGGTTCGAGTCTCAGCCAATGCAGGCCTTGCTTCTAAGGTGGGTGGATCCATGAAAGCATTACGATCACAGGAAAGCCAGTGGACAGCATTTATGTGTAATTGGCTTATTTTAATTATAAGTGCATTTAATTGTTTTAAATAAATGTATTCTGACATACTACACTATGGGAAGCATTTTTTTCTCTCTGAATATAAGGGAAGGTGGAGGATGGAGGAATAGTATGAAACGGTTTTGGAAAGATAAGCTAGAGTTTGGAATAATATACCCCAATTTATTGTCGGATCACAAAACGAGGGAGAGGATTTGGTTCTATATATATCACCAGAGTGATAATTGTTCATCTGAAATATGGTGAGCCTATAGAAGTCGGTGAGTGCAGCCAGATCTTATCAATAAGCATGGTAGAGAGTACGGTGGAGATTCACGGACGTGGTGTGGATTATAAAAGTTGAAAGATATATCTTCACACATTTTGTTGCATTAAGAAGAAATGGACTACACATATGGATATGTCGATTAAGTGGGAGTTGAACATCACTTGCAAGATTTAATACAGGACTTTCTATATGTACACGTTCTATCAGATGTACTAGCACAGTGATGGCGAATGTTTTTGAGCCGGAGTGCCCAAACTGCAAAGCAAAATTAATTCATTTACCCCAAAGTGCCAAAACTGAAAATAAATTTGATATTGTGTTTTAGTTTGGGCACTGGGGTTTAAAAAACGTTCAGCATCACTGCCTTATGCAAAAAAGGGAAACACACATATTTAAACGATTAAACATTTATTTTTTTCATCACTTTTTAATTTTTTTTTACTTTTTAACATTTTAATTTACCTTGCTATCTTTATTTTTTATAATTTTTATTGATTTTATTATTTTTTACTTTTTTTATCACTTTTTATTTTTTTAATCTAACAAGCCCATGTGGGATAACATTTGGAGGTGACAGGTCCCGTTTATTGAACCTGTCACGTCCAAAACAGGAGTTTGAGCACAGCATTGTGCTGGCTCTGCTGTGATAGCAAAGATGGAATCCGAATTCAACACCCCTGCCTAGGCTCGTGTGCCAATCGAGGGGCCTCTGCGTGCCCTTTGTGGCACGCGTGCCATAGGTTCGCCACCGCTGTACTAGCACAAGTATATGTTTTTTGGTGTTCACATTTTTTTTGTTTTGAATATTTATCTATTATGGTTTATAGTGTCTAGAGCATTAGACCAAGAGTTTTGTATGAAGTATCATTAGCACAGGGATTATGCAACACAGGTGTTGTGGATAACGCATAATTGTTTAATCACTTGGTGATAATTTCACATTTTATAACAATTTTTTTACATTTTAGGAAACATATATGAATTTGTTGAAGCGCAGTGCTATTTTTCTCTTTTCCTATTTTGGGTGAACTCACCCATTAAGCACAGCGGCTCTTAGAGTGTTATTTGATTCCAAGCGCAGTTCATCTCTATTTAACACTATTTCCTATTATGTGGTGGCAACATATAAAACCATGACCCCATATTGTGCTGCTGCTTTGCCACTGTATCCCACAGGCTTGCTATGTGGATTACAAGTGCCCATTTTAACACATATTACATTAGACATGGTCTACTGCTGTCACCCTAACCCTAAAGAAAAAGGCCATGCAGTCGTGAAGTGCATGAATGCTGGCAGAGTGAGAATGCAAAGAAGCTAAAGATCAGCAACATGAAGGATAAAAAAGCATATAAAATATAAAATAAGGATTTTATTTTAAAAATATCAATTGTTATAAATACACAGTGCTTTCACAAACTCATTGTCATTCAACTAGGTTTTTACAGCTAAGGCCCCGTTCACATATAGCGACATACCTTTTGCAGCGGATCCGCACGGCCGGGATAGCGCGACTTTCGGGGCGACGTTCCAGCGACGATCCAGCGACGGTAGCGCGACTTTCCCCGTCGGGCTCCATAGAAAAAAAGTAAAATCGTGCAAAATCCGCCGAAAAAAGGGTCCGGTAGAAGCGACTTGCGACCGCGACGAGCGACGCGCGACATGGAGTTAAGACAGCTCCATTGAATAACATTGGCCGGCGACTTATCGCGATATCGCGCGGCAAAAATGCGCGATATCGCGGCGGAAATCGCGCGACAATTCGCTATATGTGAACGGGGCCTAAGTGATGGTAAACAGCTATGCTAAAAGCTCAGATACAAATCCACATTAAGCCAATTTGTCCAATATTTCTGTTGTATCATATATGACATGGACATATTTGATTGAGGATACACATTTTTTTTTAGAAAGCCTCTCAAAGACACGTGGAAACCATAACATGTATTTAAAGGAACTATAAAATTAGCCATCAAACACCCACATAGCACTTCCATCAGCATTTAGTTTTGCCAAGTTACACAAAAAAGAAAAATGTCAACAACAACCCTTCTCAAGTGGAGAAAAAACTTTAACATTTCTAAGAAAACTGTTGAGATGCGTGGCAAATATACTACCCAATCCCATTTAGAACCACAACAGTTCCAAGGGCAGACACAGGAGTTAACTTAGACTCTCCCACCCAAAAGAGCCTAGCAAACATGCTTTTTGTATACTGTTGTCACTTGCTAACAGTAAAGGGAATACAAAATGACATTGCTTCTAAAGCTGGGGTAAGTTACACCAGGGTAAATTGCATGACACTACATTCTCTGCAAGTCACAAGGCAGAGCAACAATTGCAATGTAAGCAAAAATATAGGCGACCAAAGGTGGCTGGCAATATTTTTGATCTGTTCCCATTACTGAAAGGCAGGATGCTCTTAGGATCAGCGCTATAAACAAGCATTATAAATTAAACTAACATCAGAAGCATTCCCCTCTACTAAAACCTTGCAATAAATGATGGATATGGGCCTCAAATACATGTCATTGATCCAGCCATATTCAGAGAGAGAGAAAAAGAGAGAGCGAGTGATTGTGTGTGCAAGTAACAGAGTGGCCCAAAAGGCGCATATCTCATTGTATTTATACTAGGGATGTCCCAATATCATTTTTTCAAGACCAAGTGCTTTCCCTCAGGTACTTGCAGATACCAATTACTGACATGTGAAATTATTTCTAAAACAAAACAGACTAATGATTTTAGGGAAGTTTCTTTATCATTATAAAGAACTGTAATTTAATCTATGAATACACTTGTCCTGATACAAAAAATATTTTTAACTAAAACCGTATTTGACTGTCCTAAGATGCGCTTCTCATTGGTCAGCGCGGTCACCTGACCAACGAGTGCTTGCAATTTCTGAGTGAAATTCTAAAATATATAGCACAGGGCTGCAGTATGGGGTACAGATAGTACAACCGTACTGGTGGAGGGGAAGCCAAAATATAAGTATAGGAGGGAGGGGAAAGAGTTGACCAGATTTAAGCGGGTAAACCATTTTCTCAAATTACTTGGGAAAGCAAATAACAATGCGATATCATTCAGAGGTGACAGGCTCTCTTTATGAGCCTGCCCTCCAATACAGAAGATACAGCACAGCATTGTGCACTATCTTCTGTAAAGCTCAGGATGTGACAGCTGACACAGAAAGCGCTCCTGTGTCACTGATCACAGAGCAGAGTGGAGAATGGTCGTTCTCCGATCTGCTTTCCACTCTCCATCCTGAAGGCATCTGCTGTGGTATTGGGTCCCCCAGAATTGCAGTGGAGCCTGAAAACCACGGCAAGGAGGGGGCAGATGGACCTTGGTGGGGAGGTGAGGGCGGACCTTGGAGGGGAGGTGAGGGCGGACCTTGGAGGGGGGCCGAGCACGCTGCTGAGCAAGTGATCCGGGCATATCACTTCTACTAAACGAGCAGCCCGAGGCTATTTAAAAATTGAAAGTGCCTGCATCAACACTATGTATTGGGGCATTTTCACGAGTACAAGTACTCATGAAAATGCCCTGCACCAGCCCCGATACTGATACTAGTATCGGTATTGGGACATGCCTAATTTATACCTTAGGTACAAAGGTTCTTGGGGTTGAGGTTTATTGTCATTGTGTTTTTATACACATGGTGAGGGGCGACAGGCTTATGGCTGATATGGCAAAAACAAACATTTTGATTTCTTTGAATCTCAGTAAGTTCTGTTCTGAGTCCTGGTGTCCATAGGCATTGTAGAGCTTTGTGTTGGATAAAGCCGTTATTGCTAGGTCCACATTCTATCTGGTAGCCAGACCATATTATTACTTATAGCTGTCCACAGGCCTTGATGTACAGTATGTGATCTGACTGATATCCAGGGTTTTCTCACTCTCTCTCTCTACTGTGGGAGCCTGCTGCTGGGTGAAAAGTTACAAGTGCTGCCTGTTTTGTTTGTGGAACCCATTGGGGGCGCCTTGTTAGTCACTTGCAGAACTGACTGAGTTTAGTTAGTAGCTCAAATGAACAGATGTTTTCTTTTTTATGCTATGGATTTGCCGTACAAAGCCCTTTTGCTTTTAAGACTGTTTATTTGCTGCCTTGTTAAATAAAAGCACAAGACAAACCTGTTTGAACTGTTTCTAGCTGTCTCTGTCTCGTGCATGGTTTACTGCTGCCAATTGCAGTTGAGCCTGTCTCCCTTACAATATTGAAATCTTTTCTTTGCATTGTTTTAAAATGATACATAGGTGCAGCTTAAAGGATACGAGTTAACGTAGAACTGCAGCCAAACCTTTTTTTTTTTTTTAGTTTTGGATACAATGCAGAATCTGTCAGGATTTTATTGATGTCTGTATTCCCACTGGAAATTTTCCCTCACTTCCTATTGTGTCAAAATGACAGAAAGTGAGCAAAACCTTGCCAAAGAAAACAAGCATCAATAAAGGCACTTTTCTTAGTGGACAAAGGAATCTGTCCCCATTGATGACATTTCTTTATTTCTCCAGAAGGCACAGACCACAATGAAAACCTGACATTCTTAACCTTCCCCAATCTAAAACTGAACAAAACTTGGCTTGAGTTCCACTTGAAGCGGAGTCCTGGAATGTGAAGTGCTTATAAAAAATTTCCAAGTTGTTTTCCATTGCCAGTGAAAGTAGCAGTTACTAAGAGAAGCAACCCTTACTAAGCATTTCATAAAAAGGCCAGTGGACAGAGGGTATTTCCTCCTTTTTTTGCATAGAAGACCAGCAGCAGGAGGGACACATAAATATGTTTCATGGAAAAAAAAAATGATAAAAACTCTTTAAATAATGCATACAAATCTTACAGTGTATTTCCACTTTTGCAGCCGTATTGGGATAACACCTATTTTACATGTGTCACATGTTTCTCATTCACATAGCACAACTTTAAAAAAAATCTGCTTACATAATACTTGCTCTTTCTGGAAAAAAAAAGCTTTACTCTAAGCTGAATTTTACTATGGAATGCAAGGGGCATGGGGAGTAATATTTTATTTATTAGCCATGTCCAAACAAAGAGTTAAAGATCTAAAGAGCTAAGAGTGTCCTTATTCTTTCTATGGGGACAGCCATAGAGAGTTTCCTTCACTTTGAAATTGTACAGAGAAGTTTGTAACCTGTCCCAAGGCCAGCTAAAAAGAAACAGTTCAACGAAAAGGTAAGACTTTTTTTAGATTATTTTTAGGTATGCTGTATGAATAGGAACACATAACAAACATATAGTGGGATTTTCTCAAATTTGACTGCAAAAGTAGATGAAATACACTTCAACAGGTCTATTTATAGCCAATTCGCAGAGCCATTCACCTGACAAACCTTTGCGAACATTTGTTGTGTGCGAATAAACGCAAACACAAATGTTTTTGGACATCTTTTCTGTCCAGGTCGAATGTATCTAGTATAATACTGCATTTTCGCAACTAGATGGATTTGATAAATAATATTTCCTATGCTCCTCAGCTTTATCTATAATGCAGTGTTACAGTACATACATTTGACCTGAAAAGAAAATCTATGTATGAAATGTATGTTTTTGCATCTATGCGCAGAATGAGCGTTCTAAAATATTTGTAGGGTTAACAGTTCTGCAAATTGGTTATAAATTCTAATAGACACCTACGGCTCAATGTTTCAAGAATTGCAAAATTAAATCTTGATTACTAAACATATATTTCCAGATGTGCAGTGCAATAGAAGTACAATCCAAGGTTACTGTTTGGAGGACATTGGAGATCCATCGACATCACTCCACTGTGAAAAATCAAGGTATTAATGGGTACATTTCTCAACCATATGCAGTTCTCCCAAAGGTATATTTATCTTCCAACAATCAATAGATTTAAATTGATTAAATTAGCCTTTCTCAACCAAGAATCTGAGAAACCATAAATTCCTCCAGCATTAACTAAAACAAATGATCAAATATAACTCAAAGGCTGGCATTTCTCCTAATGATCACCAATGTAAGGAGGTATTCATCTTCCTGTCTTTCTGTTGGCCACTAATGAGAGGGGGCCCAAAAGTGATCAACCTTGGGTGTCAAACATTCTAGAACCTCCACATTCTCTATTCTTTTACTTAATGTATCTGCAACATCTAACGGATGATGCTAATGTACTATAAGCTGTGGATGTATTATTTTTTAACATAGGTTTCCTGAGGTGTGAAAAATATGTCAAGGTTTCCTCAGGCGTCAAATAGTTTGATTAGACCCATAATCCCTGGTGCGAGGAAATCAAAAGAAAGGTATTAACAAATCACATTTCTACATTAACAAACTATTTATACTATACACAGAAAGGGGAATTTATTAACCTAAGCATGGAACCCAATCTTCTTCTAGCTTTCATTTTCCAAGCTTAACTGAACAAGCTGAATATAGAAGCTGATTGGTTACTATGCAAAGCTGCTCCACACTCTGTCCATTCCAATTTTAGTAAATTCACCCCAGAATGTTTTTAACTTTAAAAAAACGATTTATTGAATTTGCCAATATGCAATAGATGTCGACTAAAAGAGGGAAACTTTTTGAATGTGTGGTAGAGTTGCTTTACATTGTTCTCAAAAAAGTCTTTTTTAGAGTTAACAAGGTATTTTTCTGTAAGATGACTATGGATCCAGCTGTGTATATATTGGGTTGTTTGGATGATCTTGACTTGCCTGAGGTCTAAAAAACAGAAATCGTAACAGTGCTGTTTCTGGCCAAGACACAAAAAATTGAAAAGCAAAATACCGCCAACAACTAAACAATGTATCTTGGCAGTCATATACACTTGAACAATTGATGTATTAGAGAAGAGGATATTCAGCCAAATGGGAGTCTTTATTGTCTTGAAGGTTAGACACACCTGGATTAGCCTCAATACATCTCATTTGGGATGCAGTTCAAATTTTGAAACCATGTTCTTTACCTTGACGTCCACTAAGCCTCTAAGCCCATACTATCAATATTGTAACATTTGCACTGAAAATAAGGTGAGAAGTGTTGGGACAAGGTCCAGCTTAAAGGTATCCGACCTGAACTCACTTCTTGGTCAAATGATGTAAGGGCTCCTTAGTATGTCTTAGGCACTGTCAAATGTTCCATGATAGGCTTTGATTTCTACCTGTTTTATTTCTTGTTAAAAACACAACAGCTGAATAAAAGAAGATGTTGAACCAAACGTTGATCCCCGGGAACAAAAACATTCATGTAAATATATTCCACAATAGCCACAAAGGATATAAATCCTCTTTGTGTTCACCAAATGCATTTGCAAACTCCAATATTACCTTGAAAAAGTAGACGTGATGCATGTCTGTGCATATAGCCTGTGCAGAAAGCAGAGCTGTGGGAGAGGCCCAGTGAGTCCACCCACTACAGGTTGCATTACAAAAAATTACAGGATGGGAGTAGATAGAAGACCAGTCACTCTGCACAAGCAAAAAGAGCAGCAGTGACTGGTCTTTATTGCAGGAAGCTTCTGCACAGACGCAAGGTTTCACACTGGATTACTGTACATATCTGGAGGAAATACACAAAGAACATCAAAGTTTCAAGTAGGATTCCACATGCTTCTTACAATTAGACAATTTCTGCTTATTTTGGAGTTCAGCTTTAAACAAAATATTCCATGGGTCATTAATATCTTGTAGAACTCACCTCATGCTGGCCCTGTTCATGGTACAACTTCCCCAGATTATACAGGCAGCTGGTCACTGAACTCTTATGAGCATTAGGATCTTTTAAATTTTCATCTGGAATTTCTGAACATTTCAAGAAAGTCCTTCTGGCTTCTTCATTTCTTCCCTGATTCATAAGAATAATTCCTGTATTCAAGTACGCAGCTGTAAAAATAAATTATTGCAATAAACATAATAAGTCAATACAACAACTAACTGTAGTATGCTAAACATTCAGCACTGCTTCTTTTAGTACCAGTAAATGTCTGGCCATGAGAAATAATTTTTGCACACGTGGTCTGTCATTAATTTTCCTTTCCTTACAGGAGGGACCACCATAGATGAATGGTGGTTCAGCCTACATGTTTTTTTTAAAACCTTTCATCTCTACAAAGCGCTGCCAATTAGAATGCCAGTTGTGATGATGGTTTTGTGGTGAGGTCTTAGCCCTTCATCTTATTTAAAAAGAAAAAAAAAGATTTTGATGAAAATGATAAACAGATGTGGATGAGGATGATAAAATGTATATTCATTACTTACATGCCAGTGTAGGCCTGCTACCAATTGCTAACTTGTAGTAGTGCAGAGCCTCTGAAAACTTGCTGTTTTCCTGTAGCAGCAAGCCTCTGGAACACATACAAAACAGAAGAATGCATCACTTTATGAAAACTAGACTCATGAATATTACTTAACAGAATATTTAAATGTTAGTTATTGAGGCAATTACGCTCATGCAATACTGTAAACATTTTTAAAAGATGTACATAATTTATCCTAGCAAGCATAAGAACACACGGCTGGATTTAAAGTATTACTAAAGTTAACAAGGTTTTGGCTTTACGTAAACGTATGTAACGTATGTAAAATGTGTGTTTTTAAATCACCTTAACCATACCAGTCAGTAATATTTTAAATATAAACTTTGCATTTTACTTTTGTCCTTTAAGAGCACTGGTATCAAGAAGGTATCAGGGCTCCCTACATGCAGATCAGATTTGTCTAATCTGCAGTAAATTATGATTCTCTGGCTTGCTTCACTGTGTGATTCCTTGCAAAGCTAACACATCAGACAAATGTTGAGGTGAATCAAAAATTTCCAAATTGGTGATTCTCCTGATACATCCATCACTAATCTGTGCACCTTAACCACACACATTATCTGCTATTTCTGCTAAGTCAAAATGTAATTAGTTCCAATTTTATTTTACAGTATCTTTCCAACACCAGAAAAAGTGTATGTGCCTCTGCTTCCTGTGTTACACTAGACACACTTTGCAATCCAATAAAGTTTTAAAGGCTGACATTTGTGCCCCCCCTCTTTCAGTGTGACTGCTGCCATGCAGGGAAGCTACTATAAAGATAAAGTGCACTTATACCAGCGCTAATTAAGTTATAGTGTTTGACTTGTTAAATCTCATAATTAAGGCAAATAATGATTTATAATCAAATAATGGAGTTTAAATTATTTTGTTCATATTTTATTCATCATAATGAAAGTCTGTGGCTCTTCGCTTTTGGTATTACAAACAAGATATAAAAAATCTAGTACTAGCATAGCTTATATTTTTTTATTTTTTATTTTCCTTTAACAATCTTTGGATAACTTTCACACTGAAATATGCAACATGTAAAACCACAGAAAAAAAAACAAAAACAGAGGGGATTGCAAAGTGCCACATTATAAGACCTGCTGATATTTAGCAAATAGCTTTTACATATCTCCCAACTATCCGAGATGAGAAAGGGGGACAGCTTTCAGCACAATGCATTTAGGCAATGGACACACCCGTGCCACTCCCTAAGTTATGTGGACCATTAAGAATGTATATGCCAAAATTCATTGGTTAAACCCATAATTGTTTTGTTTTTTTTCACCATTACTTTTCCTTTATAGTTTTGTTTGAAATTGTAAAAACAAATAAGTGATACAATTAATGTTTTAGTGCAGGATAACACCTTTGGTAGTTAAATAGACCTTTCCATAGATATCTGTACCTCGGCCCAAGAAAGAAAAGGGAAAAATCAGGACTAATAAAGGACAAAGGAATTTGGTACCAAATGAGACAGTGCCTCTAAATATGGGACAGTTGGGAGATACGGCTTGTATGATAACACCATGGGATATCAAAGGTGTCCGAGAAGGTTGTTTTTTAATTTATATCTACTTTCTTATAAAAAAATATATTAAGGAAGGGTCATAAAAATGCTCACTGCTCAGTTGACATATTGGGTTTATACGATTTTGAAAGACAAATTGTTACATCTTATCGGTAGTCTTTCAGATTTCATTACAAAAGTTACAGTTCTTTACAATATTAGACCCCATAGGCGATTCCAACTCTGATGTGACCTAAATCTTCTATTGGCAAGTGGTGTGGACATTGCATGCAATCATTTGACTGCTGCTTAGGTTAAGGGAAAGGGGGTTATAATAGCAACTTCCAATTCTCCCAGATTTAACTAGAGTTGTAATTACACTGATGGTGGTGGGGTATTCAAAGGTCAGTGGTAAATGTTTTAACTTTAAACAATATTTATAGAATATCCTACCACGTACGTGTGCTGGGCACATAAATCAAATGAATACATGAAACACCTTTCAGTTCACACATGCTTATCTGATCAGCAGTGGTTAAGGATTAAGTTACTATCAGAATCTGGTTCACTTCTCTGCAATTATTCCATATGAAGCCCAAAAAAACATTAGGGGAAGGCTGCCAAGCGCAGGCTGTTTTCACAAATTGGTTTCATAAGTTTGGAAGATGTGCTTCTCTTCACCACCAAACAGAGGACCCTGTATTGACTGAATGTTACAATTTACTGTCACATATCATTTAAAAAATAGAAGAAACTTCACTATGAACACATACACAATCTAATGCAGCTGAGAGACACATTTGTTTTTTCATTCTGAGGTGCTTAAAAGCCTCAGGAGAAAAAGTAACATTGAATAACCTATCTTTGATTTATTTTTTTGAGCTATTGTCTTATTAGTGCTTAAAAACAAGAACAACAGTGTAGATTTCTGTTTCATGTTAGTGTCAGTTTCCAAACTTTCTTTGTACAATATATATACGTAAAGATGACTTTGTATGAAATATTTCCTAATGTAACACACATGGAAGAATGCGTTCTTTTACAAAGTGTGTGCAGTTAATTAAACCTGGCAGGTGACACAGCTAAATGAAAATTCACAAGCTGCTAAGGAAAATCTATATATGAAATGAGAGAAGGCTTTATAAAATTCACAAATAAGTACAAGTGTAGACCCTAAAAGACAGATAAAGTCTCTAAAGATAGCTTAGTTGGTAACAGATTTTATGTATTTAGAAACCAAACCCAGAACACTGTTCTTTGGGCTAGCAGTTCACTGGCTGCTCAAACATAGACTAAAGTACAACAATACATCCTACGAAAACCTTAAGTGGCCCCCTCCTTAGCTAATCTAACCTAATAACACCCCACTATGGTGAAAACATACCTCTTCTGTGTCAGCCTCCCACATTGTAGACATCTCCCATGGTGCTGCACACTAACTCTCCAAAGACTTGAATCTCTCCTAGCATCTTCATACAGCATTTATGTCTATGGGAAGTTAATGTACAGGTGCAGCCAACACTGAAGGCAAATTCTACACCAAGGGTTTAAACACCTTGGATGGCCAATACAGCCACAGAATGGTAAATAGGCACTGGGGTGGCAGGTGGCGCTGGGCAATGTATGGACAGTAAACACAGTACTCCATGCGCATGGGGGCAGGATTCCGAAACCTTCGTGGTGGGAAACATACCCCGTACAAACGCCAATACCGGTGTTTGTAGGGGTGTACCCCGTGACATAAAATGAGCTCTGGGCATCCCAATACTAATTAGGGAAACCCATCTGTTGTGGAAACTCATAATTTCTAGTTATAATTACATCCGGCAGCCCTTTACATGGATGTGTTTAATTTTGTTTAGGCCATTCTTAAATCCCAGAGCAACTAGATATCTGCTCATCAGGCATTTGATGGTTTATAGCCTAATAATGCATAAGGGCCCAAGGTATTTATTCAAGCCTTCTTTATGCCTGGTTTGAACTGGCCCTAATGGTATGCGCATTGTAAAACACTAACTAGCCAGATCACCAATTATTGCTAGACAGCTCAGTTAATCCCTAAAGGTTAAAGATTTGAAGCGAAGTCAGTGACGTTAGAACACCGTGGAGAAAGATAAGGATAGACCCGACATTTCAGGCTGGCGAGTCTGACAATGCAATTTTACATGTGTTTTATGTGAGAGTAATATTTTAAATATATAGTAATATTTTATTGTATAAGGGTTGCACTAAGATATCTACCTCTGTCGTTGAGAATTTTTCAAAACAAAGATGGGCTTTTATAAGAAGAAAGATCTATAAGATCAGGATCGTTTCATCTGGAGGGAGGAAGATTGCGGCTTTAAACATTGTGAGGAAGGAGGTTGATTTCACAAAAAGCGTTCTGAGACCCAAGGGACTGAACAAGGAGGTGAGAGGCTTATGTATTAGAGCATTGGTGTTTTGTGAGCACTGAAGCAAATTATTCTAATTTGAAGATATTATTTTATAAAAGGTGTATCAAAGATTATATACAAGAAGTCACAGGAGTGGACACAATGACACACAAAGAGAGACTAAGAGCATTCTTTAATTTTTATCCTTTTTTCTGTTTTTTTTTTTTACACGTCAAGATTTGAGAGTTCTGGGGGCGTGTCCTAACCATGGTGGCGTGAGGTGCTCGTTTAGAGAGCTCAGCGGCTTCAGCGTACCATCAGCACTCTTACCTCCACATTACTCCCGCTGACACCCCGGCTCTCAGCATGTCTAAACGTCGGAAGGACGGGGGATCTAAAAACCAGGTCTCGGACGCCTCCATGCAGCTGTTTTTCTCCCCGATGAGTGTGGGACCTGTGGAACGCGGCAGACCCAAGATGGCGCCGTCCTCCTCCACGAGGGTTCCGTCCCACAACACACGCTGACGGGGCTCCCCATCTCCGGATACCTCCCGGGCTGGATCCGGCTCCCCTGGGCCCGCTGCTGTGGACCCCCAAGATGACGACGAAGAGGTGACGGATGACCTGCCCTCCGACTTGCCGGACGGTTTTCGGGCCTTGTTACGTTACCTCCCCACCAAGCAGGACTTCGAGTCCATGGTGTCTAGGAGTTGAGGCTGCCTTGCGCAAGGACCTACGAGAAGTGAAGCGGGAGGTGAGAGGCCTGGCCGCGACAGTAGCGGAGGTCTCCGCATCCTGCGCAACGATGGACACAAGGATTGCTGCTCTTGAGTTGGCTGCCAAAGGCCGGATCCCCGCCTTACTGACCTGCAACTCCATATGGAGGACATGGAAGATAGGGGGAGACGCAACAACCTGCGCATCCGTGGCATCCCAGAGGCTACTGGAGCCCCCGACCTGCGCCCCACGGTACAAGCAGTCTTTGCATCCCTGCTCGACAATGTGGACCCCGCCACCATCATCCTGGATCGGGTACACAGAGCCGCTGGACCTAAACTCTCCAATTTTCCTAACCCGCGCGATGTGATATGCCGGGTCCATTATTTTACCACGAAAGAGGAGATCCTCCGAGCTGCATGGCAATGCAGACCCGT